AACAAAAACAGAGAAAAATAAAAACAAGAAAATCTTTAAATTAAAACAAATTATAATGCCCACTGATATGTCATTTTATTTGTTTGAAAAGGAGCAGGTAGAAGAAAAAAGGATCTTGTGATTTCCTGCCCCTCTCATACTCATAACCTAAAAACATGTAAATCTCCTCACACCAGATAAACTCTTAAATTATTCCCACATTGAATTGACCCTTAAATCTTACATTCTCATCCTTAAATGTACAATTATTTATACATTTTAATATCAATAATATTTTTGGTTTTTCAGACACCCAACAGCATATTTCCCCATAAATTCCCTTTTAAACAATTTTTTAAGCTGGTTTATATTTGTACCTTTTTTGAGCTCATCATTTAATCCATTCCATAAATCTACCCCMCACAGTGATGAACAAACATTTGTTTTGGTTATTCTAATACATTCTTTTAAAAAAATTCTTCTTGTCTTAAATATAACCCCGCACCTCTCAGTCATAAAACATTTTCTGTATATTGTGTGGAAGTTGATGATTTCTTACTTTATACATGAATTGTACAGTTTTAAATTTTGCAAAGTCCCAGAATTTCAATATATTTGATTTAAAAGATAACGAGTTCGTATGTTCCCGATATCCCACTTTATGCAGTATTCTAACTGATTTATTTATTTATTTATTATTATTTTATTTATTTATGTATTTTTATGTACAGTATTACGTACAACGGCGGTTTTTAGCTTGCCTTTTGCTGTTATGGCTTTGAGCTAGCGCTTGGCTACTTTTAGCTTCTGTTTTTAATACTTTTAGCTTATCATTAACCTACTGCCACATTAAGATTTCATCTATGTTGCTGACTTTGGCTACTTTGGGTTCAAGTTAGCTTTGAGCTAGTATTTTGCTCGTATTTGTTTTTAGACAGCTTTTTGATTTTTCAGTTTCAGCTTCTACAGCAAATTTCAGTAAAGTCAACAGCACTCAGCATTCACACTGCATTTTCAGGGAAAATAGCATTTGTTTTTTAGTTTGTCACTTGTCTTTCTCCTTTCTCTAAATTTGGTACTTTCCTAATAGATTTTAGCATATAGACAGCGTAATCTAGTAATGATAAAGCAGCCCAGAATGCTGCACAGTCACAGACTGCAGGCACAAACACATACGGGCTCTGCCCACCCCTGGAGGTACCAGCAACACTCGTCCCTTCAGGACATAAAAACAATGGAACATACAAGTCTGACAAAAATTTGGCATGAACGTTTGGCAAAAAGAAGAGTTGTGACTCACCGTTCACACCCAACTGTAACACACTCACACTTTGGCACAAATGTTGTTGAAACACTTTATAGAACACTCACAAAACGATATGAAAAAAATAAGTTAAAAAAAATTCTCCACACATATTCACTTTTTGCTTTTTCTTTCCCTGCCTCAGGTTAGGAATGTATCRGGCAGCACACTTTCTGCAACACTCTTCCAGATGACTGACAACAGGGCAACGCCTCAGTGCTCAGCCACAGCTTGCATCAGCATCATGAAAGCACACCAAAGAGAGTAGCATGCATGCACATGCTTTTAAAAAACGCACACATTCTTTTTTTATCGGAGCATTTATTGTCACAGATGCTAACTAACTAAAACAAACGTCTTTGCACTTGAAGATGATTTAAAAAAGCAGTTATTTGACACACAGACTCCTACAAGTAGCTATTGTTTGTTTGTTTTTTAGTTTATTGGATCCAACTTCGCTCATTTGGCTCATATTTGTCACAGCAAGTAAAAAAAACAATGTTCAGTTTAAGTGTTGTAAACTGAGGCATGAAAAAWATCTCTGAGTTTTATTGGAGCAGGAAAGATTCCACTGAGCTGTGACCGTCAGGTTGAACGAAAACAAAAAACCCTCCCGTCTATGAGCGTGAAATGAGAAGCACAGAAGCCTGCGTACAGAAGTATTGATCAWTTTTGTGTAAGAACTTTTAAAACCACTAGAATTATATTTAGGGATTAGTTTGACCTCCATTATACTTTCATTTTGTCTGCACTAAAGATGTACAATAACTTCATTACCTTGATGTTGTTGTAAATATTATTTCAGTTTAAAGAACAGAGCAGCATTTTTATATTGTAATATTAACATATTTATTAGAATTAGAGTTTTGGCAGCTTCCTTTATGCACTGATGATGGATTGATAAAAATGTCAAGTTAATTATAAAAAAATTAATTCCTGAAATTCCTTTAAGGGATACATATTTCCTGCCTTTAATGCTAGAGTTTTAGACTGAGATCATCTTTTGTTGAAAAATTAAATAAAGAAGTTGTAGCTAATTTGGTCAAAGCTTGAAATATATAGTAGTAGTATTATACAGTATATTCAACTGTATATTCAACCTGTTTCAGCTACTTGTACAGTGGGGAAAATAAGTATTTAGTCAGTCACCAATTGTGCAAGTTCTCCCACTTAAAAAGATGAGAGAAGCCTGTAATTGACATCATAGGTAGACCTCAACTATGAGAGACAAAATGTGAAAAAA